ACATTCCCCACAATCAGCTCCTGATGGCCCCGGGAAGCGGCGTGTCCCATAGGGTCCGGCTAAACCCCACTGCCGCCGCCCCGACGGGCCCCTCCTCACCTGGGGCTGCAGGTTGGGGTGCAGCAGGACGTAGCCGTTCAGGTCGATGGCGAAGACGTAACCGTTTGCCCCCAGCTGTGGGAGGACAGGAGGAAGGATGAGGCTGGCCAGGCGGCTCTGTGGCATGCCGTGCTGTGCTGGTGGGATCACCCGCACGCCTGTGGGCAGAGCTGGCCCCACTCCACCCCCCAGGGCTCAGCCCTTTCTATCCATCTATTTCTACTCTCAGGCCAACAGCATCTTTCACCCCGGCTCTGGATTTTGCCCACTGCCCCTTTTCCCAGGCCGGTAAGGTTTATTCCTCGCTAACCCTACAAGAGTTTCGGCTTTGCTCTGGGTCCCAGAGCATCACCCAGCTCTGATCCCTGCCCGCCTGCCTGCCCCGGTCCCTGCCTGCAATCATGGCTTCTGCTGCCTGCTACCGCCAGCGCCGCTGGAGGTGCTACGGGGTGCGGAGGGGTGCAGTTTGGGGCTCCCCGCAGTGGGCTTCCACACTGGGCTCGGGCAGTGCAGGGCAGGGACGGAGGGAAAGGGGCCCCCACGCACGTTGTATCGCGGTGTCAGCCTCTTGATATCGTTGAGAGCCACGTCGATCCCCATCACGCCCAGGATGAGCTGGTTCTGCAAGGAAGCGCACAGAGGGAGGCAGCTGGGAGCAGGGCTGTCCCCTGCCGCAGCCAGCGCGGGGACAGGGAAACAGGGGGATGGACCTTCTTGCCCTCTGGGGACGTGTGGGTCAGATCCGGGCACCACAGGGGCACAGGGTGGTCCCCCAGCAGCCCTCTATGGGATGCTGCACCCCTCAGGGACCCCAGCTGTCCCCATTGAACCGGGACAGCTAGCCAAAGCCATTTCGGGTCCTGGGGATGGCAGCCACCCCGGTCTCATGCCAGGGACAGGGTGCAGAGCAGGCAGCGCCCCAGGGGTGCCAATGCCCCCACCCCGCAGCCACTTGTCCAGCATCAAGGTGCCCTCATGCCCTCCCCACCCTGCCACAGCCCCACACTGGAGGTCCCGGTGCAGCCGGGGTGGTGGCAGCCACAGTCTCCTACCTTCCTGTCACTGCTGTCCTCCGTCAGATTGAACACCGGCAACGTGCCCGTCACCACCAGGCCCAGCCCCTGTACAAGCAAAGAAGGGTGTCCCATGGCCCCTCACTGGCCCCAGAGCTGGGGGTGGGCAGCAGAGGGGGGTTACCCCCCTGGCAGGGGAGATGGGGGCATGTGCTGTGTGGGACCCATGGGGCTGGTGTCCCCATCTGCATCATGGAGCTACGTGGGACCCCTGGGGCTGGTGTCCCCATCCGCATCCCGGGGCTGTGTGGGACCCTGGGGCTGGGGGGTCCCCACCCACACCCGGGGGCGGGGGGTCCTTACCAGGGCATCCTGATAGACATTGGTCCACTGAACCTGCTTGGCTCGGTTCCCGGCCAGCACCATGGGTCTGCCCAGCACATCCAGGTACTCCTGCAGGGACACAGGGCAGGGGAAAGCATGACGTGGGAGACAAGATGCCTCCCTGCTCCAACCTGGTGACACCTCTGTCCCCACGCACGCCCCAGGGATGATTAATGGAGCGCTTGGTGCAAAGCCCCAGCTGCAGGCTGAGCTAGGGGAGGGGGAAGCTACCAAACCTGAGGGTAACGGCTCCAGCTGGGAACAGAACAGACCTGTCGAGATGCAGACAGGGTGCTGCTCACCATCGCAGCGCCAGCCAGAGCTCCCCTGGCTCCCGACCATCCCTGGGCATGGGCTTGCTCTGTCACGCCTGGACCACCATCACTGCTGTCTCCCTGCCTGCCACCACCAGCCTTTTGGGGTCTTCTCCCGGGGCAGGTTTCCCTTATCCTGGCTCACCTTGCCAAGGCAGCCCCCTGGGCAGGGGGGCAGCCCCTGTGCCATGATGCCAGCCCTGTCCCGCTTGGGGACCCCTGTCACCTGCCCACCGTGGCACCTCGTACGCATCCGACAAAGAAAAGGGGCAGAAAAGGGGCAGGGAGATGGGGTGTGGGGTGGAAATGCCTGGCTCTGCCCCACGGGTGCTGCTGGGGCCGGCCCTGCCCGCGCTCGCTCCCTGCCCACGCTCGGCTCTGCTCTGTGCTGATTAACGCCTGATGTTTCATAATTAGTCACTCAAAAGGCGGCAGGTCCGTGGGGAGCTGCAGAAGACGAATTGCTTATTTCAATAGCGCGAGGCTCGGTGGAGGGCTCGGCTCGGCTCCCCAGCTCGCTGCCACGCCGGCTGCCAGCCTTTGGGCTCTCCGCAGCGGGGCTGGGGCTGCCTGAGTGTGGCCCCAGGCAGGGCACCCCCGGAGGGCAGCGCTGCCTGCCTGCCTGCCCCCTGCCTGCACCCAGCCATACCTGCGTGTTGATGCGGATGGCACCAATGGAGGGAATTTCGAAGTAGTAACCTTGGAAAAGAAAGAGAAAAGCAGCTGGAGAGCTGTTTGTCTGTCCAGCTGTCTGTCCAGCCCTCCAGGGTGGTAGCCAGCGCCTCCCTGGCAGTGGCACGTGGCGGTGCCAGCCCCCGTGCGGGGGGTGAGCCCACCGCCCTGCAGCCTCCCGTGCTGGCCGGGTGCCGTCCCCGCTCACCTTTGTTGGCGCAGGCCATCCATTGCAGCGGGGTCACGTCATAGTTGTGCTGCCCAACGGAGAAGGTGAAGACCCGCACCTGCGGCAGAACGCGGCGGTGAGGGCCGTCCGCTGCGCACCCCCGTTTCCACACCCAGCGCTCCCGGTTGATGGCAACCTCCTCGGGGACAGGGTGGCATCACCTGCCACAAACAGTGCTGACCGCGGCCAAGCGCAGGTGGGCAGAAGGGGGCTCCTGTGAATGCTGGCTGGGCTGGCAGCAAGGGAGCCCCTCTCTACTTGCCCAGCCCCGGCCAGTCCTGTCCCAGTGTCACTGCGTTGGCCCAAGCCACCTACCTCAGGAGTCCTCACGCCGGGGCATCACTGCACCCAGAGGCATCTGTGCTCTCTGAGGGTCCCGCATGGACCAGAACCCCCCTACCCCATGGGTCTCCAGGCCCTGGGTGGCAATGGGGACCCTTCTGCGGATTCATCTGCCTGCCTGTCCCCATGCTTGGGGTGTGCTCCCTTCAGGGCCGGCATTTGCAGAGCCCACCAGCCCCATCCCCTCCCTGGCAGCATGTGGGGCGCCTGGGCCCATACATGCCAAGGTGGGAGCCGGCTATAAATGGCACCGGGGCATCAGCAATCCCATTACCAGGGAAGTAGCTCGGTGCAGGAGCAGGCTATCAGGGAGAGAGGATGACGATGAGGCTAACGAGGCGGAAGCCAGCAATGGAGCTGGAGCAGCCATCTCCCTCCCCGGTGAGTGGCCCCAGCCTGGCACTTGGCCCCACAGCCCCTCACCGTCTTATTGGGCCAGTTGTACTTCTCAAAGACGTCCTGCACCCGGTCCTCGCCGCCATCCGTGAACATCATGATCATCTTGTTGCAGTTGGCACGCGTTATGTTGGACTGCGGGGCAGAGAGACGGCGCCTGAGGCCAGACCCAGAGCGAGCGGTGCCAGGCGCGGGGTGGGATGCGGCTGGGAGCGGGGCTGGATGCGGCCGCAAACCCCGGTGGGCCAGGAGGACTAACCCCAACCCATCTCTTTTCCCCGGCCTGTTTCTCCAGGGTGAGGGTGTCCAGGGTGAACGGGCAGGAGGAGGGATGCTCTCTGCTTGGAAATGATGCTGTGGCTATTGCTGCTCGGCACCTAATAGCGCCATTCATCTTTATTTTGGCTCTGGCATGGTGTCTGGCTGGATCCAGCCCCCTCCGCCCAGTCCTGCTAACTTTTAATAACCCAGAGGGGCAGCAGCTCCAGCAAAACCTCGGCTACAGCATGCTAGCGGGTGGGATGTCCCCTCCATGGCATTGCAAGGGAGGACAAGGAGCCCTCTGCATGTCAAAGCCCCAGGCACGGGGCAGCAGCTGGGTGCATGGAGCCCTCCCATCCCCCCCAGCACCCATGGGTGCCCTCTGCCCACCCCCCCAGTCCCCAGCCCGGCCCCCAGCTCACGTTTTGCAGCTGGTCGAAGGCGTACTCAAAGCCAGCCTTGTAGTCCGTCGTGCCCTTGGCCACCATCCCCTGCACGTCCTCCTTGAAGACCTTCTTGTTCCGGATGTTGGCCTGCACCAGGTGCTTGAAGCACGACACCGGCTTTGCCTTCTCGTTGAACTGGGAGGCAAAAAGGAGGGGAGCGGTTTGCAGAAAGGGGACCCAAAGGCAGCCCCCCGCGGGCACAAACCGCCCACCACGCTCAGCTCCCATGGGCGGGAGGTGGCTGGAGCATCCCATGTCCCACGTCCCAGGGATGGCGGATGCCGAGACCGGGGCTTGGCTCGGGTCAAACCCAGCACTGAGCCGCCCGGCACGGCTCCGATGCCTCCCTCCCCTTCCCGG